AGTGTCTTTACTCCCGGCTCAGAAACGGACTTGGTAAGATAACTTTTTCTTCCAACAATATGTAGGGTATATTTACTTGATACCCATTTTAGTGCTGTAATGGTGGCATCAGCCTTAGCTGAACTCCAAAAATACTAAGCAAGGTTAGACTTTTGGTTACTTGGATGGAAAACCACCAGGAAAATCTAGGGTCGGAAGTTGGGTTGGGATAAAAAAATATTGGAAAGGGGCAATAAAACTTCATAGATGTATCCATATACTCACCAGGAGTTGAGACTGACTAGAAGGAATCTTTACCATTTTTTTTTTACCCTCCTCTCCACAGGTTGGGGTCACTGAATGCCCGCTGAAGCACAGGAGAACTGTGAGAACTATAAAAAGTTCTATTTTGGAGGGCTGCAGTGCAGCCCAGCAGGAACAACGGGTATGAGATTCTTTCTCCTTCTGCGCTCACTCAAAAAGTTCTGAAAATTTAAAATATGCCCACGCAATGAAAGTTTTCTTTGCACACATCTAATTTCAAACAGGGTTAGGATTCTTTTCCGTTTCTTCATCAGTCACTAACACAGACACCCTCAACATTGTGAGGTTATCTTGTCTCTTCATTTTGCTATTAAGGAAATTTGCAGTCAGCACGAAAGGCAACAATATTTTAAATTCCGGAATTGGGAGGCATATATTTTCTCTCTCTTTATCTTGCTATTCTCCTACAACATATGATACATGTTTTTATATATTTCTTATACACAGATAAACTTTAAATCAACTGGAAAATACAAGTTTATCTATGTACATTGCTTGTACATAGGTAAACTTTAAATCAATTGGAAAATTGATTTAAGAGAGCCAGTTTGGTCTAGTGCTGAAGGCACCAGGCTAGAAACTGGGAGACGGTGAGTTCTAGTCCTGCCTGAGGCACGAAAGCCGGCTGGGTGACTTTGGGCCAGTCCCTCTCTCTCAGTCCAACCCACCTCACAGGGTTGTTGTTGTTGTTGTTGGGAAAAGAGGAGGAGGAGGGAGTATTAGGTATGTTTGCTGCCTTGAGTTATTTATAAAAATAATAAAGGTGGGATAAAAAATCTAAAAAAAAAATGCAAACAAAGGAGAGAGAGACAAAAATAGAGGGAACCTCCTGGTGAGATTTAGTGGCCAAGAGGTTGCACTATTAACAGTGATTAAGAACACTCTTCACAGTACTTCAAAGACTTACAGTGCTTACCGAGATACTTAACAAAAGTCTTGAAGTGTAAACAGGAAGAATTTTAAATAAGGCATGCTGGTAGTCAGGGCTGCATCTGAAAGACTTAATCTCTTCAGCGATGGGAGAAAGAAAGATCCAATAATGCTGAGGATACACCAGAATACCAATGAGAAATCCGAGAGGGAAATTCAAGGGTAGAGGAACAGGAAGGAATAAAATATGGAGGTAGATTTGTCCTTTTCTAAAATCCCAAGTTGGCCGTGAGTAAAATAAGAGAAATGAGAAGAGGCTTTTCCTCTTAAAACTACAGCATCATAAAGGTAATAAATTAACAGAGAAAAGATAGAAGAATATAAAATTTCTATAACAGTACCCAAGCTCATTAAAGAGGAATATTGACCTTTTATTGTTGTCTCTCTCAAAAGAAACTAAAAACGTGATGACAACATTGTCTTCATAGGCACAGAGAGACTCAACAAGGTTTGATATATTTATTTTGTCGTATTGTTAGAAAGAAATCTTACCAGGATCATTTTCCGAGCCGGGAATAAAATACGCAGGCAGTGGCTTGAATCAGAGGTGAGATTTATTTCTGAGAGCACAAGGTACAAAATCTGCCATGTCAGAGGTGGCCGCAGTGACTCTTCCCCTTTAAGCCCTATAGAGAGAGAAACCTTGCTATTGTTCTGTGAAAGTGTGCAAAAGCGCCCCCTTTAGGAATTCCAAGAAAATGCACTTAGCCAGTGTTCCAAGAGGGAACCCTCTACAGTCAGGCATCCTGCTGAGCTGCGGTTTCCACTTGTTTAGCATTGCTGATTGAAATGGCAATCTCCTTGGGGAAAGGATCCTTTCTGATTTAATCAAGGGGACCTCTGGTAAAGGGTCAGCCTGAAAGGAATATACACCTGAAAAGGCGGGTTCTTCCTGCAGGTGGGCGCTTCCCACTTTTAATCTTTGTTTTGAGCTCATTTTAATTGTAATTTTTAACCTTTTGCCCTGGCTACGGGGGGGGGGGGGGG